AATCGGTCAAGCCGTTTTCATGTTATGTCGTGACAACGGAAAACGGGTTTCATTTTTATATATATAGATATCTGGTGGCAAAGGGCGCGCGCGGCCGTTCTAGACCGATCCTTGTACATACCTCCGTAACCTAGACATCAACCCAGCGAAAAGTACTGCGGTGCTATTTCAGAGGGGAAGCTCCACACGGATTTCCTCCCGGATTAGGAGGAGGAATCTCACACCCCCGATTACTCTCTTTAGACAACCCATACCCTGGGCCAGGAAGGTCAAGTACCTGGGCGTTACCCTGGATGCATCGATGACATTCCGCCCGCATATAAAATCAGTCCGTGACCGTGCCGCGTTTATTCTCGGTAGACTCTACCCCATGATCTGTAAGCGGAGTAAAATGTCCCTTCGGAACAAGGTGACACTTTACAAAACTTGCATAAGGCCCGTCATGACTTACGCGAGTGTGGTGTTCGCTCACGCGGCCCGCACACACATAGACACCCTCCAATCCCTACAATCCCGCTTTTGCAGGTTAGCTGTCGGGGCTCCGTGGTTCGTGAGGAACGTTGACCTACACGACGACCTGGGCCTCGAATCAATTCGGAAATACATGAAGTCAGCGTCGGAACGATACTTCGATAAGGCTATGCGTCATGATAATCGCCTTATCGTTGCCGCCGCTGACTACTCCCCGAATCCTGATCATGCAGGAGCCAGTCACCGTCGACGCCCTAGACACGTCCTTACGGATCCATCAGATCCAATAACCTTTGCATTAGATGCCTTCAGCTCTAATACTAGGGGCAGGCTTAGGGACCCCGGTAACCGTACTCGTCGAACTCGACAAAGAGGTCGACGTGCAACCTAACCCATGCATCAGCCCGCTGAGTTTCTCGCCGGATCTTCTCAGCGGGTCGCGATTCCGATCCGGTAGTAGATTCATTCGCGAAGCAGCTACTCTTGAGCTGTTAGGTCTCCTTCGGAGGCGCTCGGGTAGCTGTTAGCAAATCCCACCTCTCCTGGCTGAGCCTTTGCTCGCCCACGTGTCCTGGTGAAACTGGAAAGGCCTCCGGGCCACCAGTAATCTTTCAACCATAAAAAAAAAAAACCTCCGTAACGCGAGTACGCCTTCTATTTAATAATGAACTAGGTTTTACCCACGCCTTCGATCACGGTAATATAGATTTTATCAATCGTTTTAGGCACAGAACAAGTATTATTTTAGGACGCTGCTGTATGCTATGCTGTATATCTTTCCACTGAGATATAGATTCCGGAAATTGGATAAAAGCGAGCATGCACATTAATGACTTTACCTAATGCGCCCTTGCTACGTAATTTCGATTGAAGAGGCACCTAGGCGTCTCAGTCGTTCTTATAGAAGCTTGGCTATGGAACAGTCTAGTCTTTTTTCGCTTTCAAAACGTAGCTCATCAGCTCTCAAAATAGCTCCTCTTGTTTATAACAAATGACCGAATAATGTTGCGATATTGTTGTAATCAAACAATATTTGCCGTAGGAGCTTGTTTGTGGTCAATAGTTACCTCGTAAGCGTTAGGTTTTTTTTTATTGCTTAGATGGGTGGACGAGCTCACAGCACACCTGTTGTTAAGTGGTTACTGGAGCTCAGAGACATTCACAACGTAAATGCGCCACCTATCTTGAGATATAAGTTCTAAGGTCTCAAGGATAGTTACAACGGCTGCCCCACCCTTCAAACCGAAACGCATTACTGCTTCACGGCAGAAATAGGCAGGGTAACGTGGTGGTACCCACCCGCGCGGACTCACAAGAGGTCCTACCACCAGGTTTGCAATGATTTAAAAAAAAGACACGAAAATAATTATACCCTACCTAAGCAAGCGCTACGTTAGCGATGCTTATAAGAAAACGATGAAAAGTGATGTGTAATTATAGCTTAACCAAACATTAAAATAGACAAACAAAGAATTTTCTTTTTAAAGTTGAATTGAAACTAAAACTACCTATCCCTAAAAATAAGTTGTCTTATAACAATGAACGATAAATAATCATTGTTTGAGTGGCACGTACCTATTACATACAACTAGGGTTTTAATGTCGCATATAAATGAAGCGAAGGAAATTCGCGCGGGAAATTTTTGACTTATGAAACTAGTTTGGTCGTATTAATATTCGAAGAATACATGCCGATAATAAAACACTTCAATGCAAATCTCATTTAGGGACCACGTATTTAAATCTCGGCTAGATTCATAGTTTACGGGTCTTGCAACGCAGAATACTGTTTAAGATGAATTACTTGATACTTTGAAAAAAATTTTTTTGCCACGTACCATCCGGCTATGGAATGAGCTCCCACGGTGTTTCCCGAGCGCTATGACATATCCTTCTTCAAACGAGGCTTGTGGAGAGTATTAACGTTAGGCAGCGGCTTGGCTCTGCCCCTGGCATTGCTGAAGTCCATGGGCGACGGTAACCACTCACCATCAGGTGGGCCGTATGGTCGTATGGCAATAAAAAAAAAAAATTCGGAGGTATCGTCAAAAAAGTGGAAGAGAGTGTGACTATTGAGTTGATACCATTAACTGCATTTTGTTCCTTGTGTCCTAATGCCAGTAATTGATATTTCACATCCTACCACATACCTATCCTTTGCGTATTTAAAATAATATGATTGTGTTTTATGGAAGTGTTGAGATTTTCCCAAATACCAGTAAGTTTTATTACGTTATTTAGACATCTTTTATTTAATTTTAACGAAGGTCAACATAATTGGAATAGCTTTTGGTGCGATTTCTACATAATTTTTATAAAAGGCAGCTTTAATGTTCAAAATCAAATCGGTTCGAAGCTCCAGAAATTAGGATAATAAAGGAATTATTTCTGAATTTTTGTCATGTCATAAATATGTATAGTACCTACCTGTAAGTTCCCTCGCTTTTCCGCTAACGAATAGAAACAGAACCGCGTATATCGATTTGTACATTGTTACTGAATCTAGTAACTATGATTTTGATTCATTAATTAGTATTGATTCTCATTTGAATGCGCATATAAATCTAAAAGATGTTAGGAAGGTTAATTGGCTGTGTGAAAATGACGCGGCTTAATAAACAAAAACATAATAGGTATATGAACTTGTGTTTGGCGTCATTTAGGTAATCTGAGTTGAAGGTTGCTATTTTGATATCAAATGAAACTTTTATTTTGTTGAAATAACAATTTTTTGCATACGAAGGAATTAAATATTGATTTACTAGCGACAAATGACGAACGACTTTTCGTGCTGCATACATAAATAGAGGAACATTCTTCTGTGTAATCCTGGCCCATCGAGTATCTCGCCGGATATTCTCAGAGCGTTGCGATTCCGATCCACTGGTAGATTCAGCGAAGCACTGCTCATGATAGGGCTAGTGTTAGCAAATTCTCTTAGATTGAGCCCTTGAGCTCACCTACCCGTAGCTGGAATATCCGCTAGACTACCACAGAATAGGTAGGGGAAAAAAAGTAATATTACGACTCGGTTAATAGCCTTCCTACCTAAAAAGGCAACGGGTTCTACTGCTTAGTTCGTTTGGTGTATAGGAATATATAAATAGACATAATATTATGTGACAAGGTAGGCTTTAGGACTCTATCGACGAGCCATTGGATCGTTCATCTTCATTCTTATTTCTTTTGTCTTAGACCATCAAAGGAAATGGAAAGTTTTTAACGTGATTTTTTTCATCATAATTTTCTTAAGCATCAAGATGTCTAGTTACGATCATGACATAAGCAAGTGTAGTTAGTGTTCACAAAGCTATCACACGGCCCGAATCCTCTATCCAAATACAACAGTACCGTTTTTGCAGGATAGCCGTCGGAACACCGTGGTATGTCAGCAAGAGCAATGTAGCGCCCTAGACACGTCGTTACGGATCCATTAGATCCAATAACCTTTGCATTAGACGCCTTCAGCTCTAGCACTAGCTTAGGGACCCCGGTAACCGTACTCGTCAAACGCGACAAAGAGTTCGCCGTGCAACCTAACCCATGAATCAGCTCGCTGAGTTTCTCGTCGGATCTTCTCAGCGGGTGGCGATTCCGATCCGGTAGTAGATAGATTCATTCGCGAAGCAGCTGCTCTTGAGTAGTTAGGTCTCCTTCGAAGGCGCTCGGGTAGCTGTTAGCAAATCCCACCCCTCCTGGCTGAGCCTTTGCTCACCCACCTGTCCTGGTGAAACTGGAAAGGCCCCAGGGCCACCAGTAATCCTTCAATCATAAAAAAAGCAATGTAGCTCTTCACGATGAATTAAAATCAATAAGTGAAGAGAGTGTCAGTATGGTTCATCGACAAATCGCTGCAGCTTCTGCGTCAGCCGTAAGGTGAGACTGTTTGCCCGAAAAATGATCGATCGGTTCACCTAGCGACAAGTCTACGCCTCGAGCATGCCCGTGATTGACCCCCTGCGTTCATATTATCAAGACACGAGAAATATACATAAATTTAGCCTACTCTTACTTTGACCTCGTAAGTCTCCTAGTTCAATTGAAACAATTTTTTGTGGTCACGCTAACAGAAGGCTCAAAGCTACCCAATGAAAGCTAGGTTAGAAGTTTTCTTGAGCGATCGAATAAAAATTTCGAACAATAGATTCGCAGGAAAATCATGATAACGAATACAGCTCGAAAATATTTAGCTTTAGATAATTTTTGCACCATTGCAACATAAGACAGGAAATTGTTCGAAATCAACAATATCGAAATCACAATAGATATTACATATTATTATGTTCATCAATTTTTTTGTTGTATTGACTGTAAAAAAATCCACATATCCTTTGCGCTTCCTACCTTAAGTTTTAACTTTGATCCATAGCAATGGTTATTAAAATAATTATTAATATCCATAGCTTTGGACCTATGATGAATCGTTTATTAAATGGGTGGCTTTGACAGTTGACGTTATGAAGTAATTCGCCAAATGACATATGACATATACAACAAAATAATGACATTTCCAATATAACAAAAAAATGAAATTTCTATTTCGAGATATTTTGAGGTTTGCCGACCAATTTTCACAAACTAAGTAACCTAAAGTAACTGAAAAACATTTTCATTACCGTACTTAAACGTACTAAGATAATTATTTGATGTCAGTAACTTTCCACTGAAATGAATGTTGTGAATAGTAGCAAATAAAATTATTTTGTAACAATTGTATCTTACGATGCGAGTGATCGTAAATGTTTGGTTGTACCAATGTCCTTTTACGATTTGCTATGTTAGCGAGGATCTCTTCCTTGTACCAGAGGAGAGAATATACAAATCTTTAGGTTTAAAGACTGGAGACTGTTGTGAAATAGGAATGGATGCTGATAATGTCAAGAAAAATGTATTAAAATTGAAAATAGATGCAACTTTTTTGCTGCCATTCGTGAAAGCCTGCATGGGCTCAGATGTCTTCCGAAAAAATTTATCATACAACTTAAACAGCATCTGCGAGTTCCCAAGGCACGGGACCGTAGTCCTCAAGTTAATACTTGAACCACCAGATAAAGAAATAATTGATTACGCTTGGTGAGTTAATAAATTTTGATATTTTATCAAAAAATACATATTAATAGAAAGTACATTTTATTTTATTCAATTTACAGCTAACAAATGTGAATTTTCTTATATATGCGGTTAGAATTCTAATTCAATAAACAATATACAATCTGTGATAGATTATGAAGATTTTTATTGACTACATTAACTAATTACATTGATAATATTTGTAGCAAAAATAGCCATAAATGGAATTTGAATTGTGTTATTGCATTAAATATTGTTAAATTTGCATTATTACTGCTATACTTATAAGCTTCTCTTGCGAATTCAGGACCACATCAGTTAAACTATTCCAAATTTATGCAATAATTTTTAAATTTACAGTTGAAATATTTAGTTTGCATTATCATTGTGTATTGCTAAATAACATTTGGAGATACTCAACAACATTTCAATAATTAGTCTACGTAACTTTTCATAAGGATAAAGCCTTGATACTCTCTTTAACACATAAGCTGATGTGGTCAACAAGGGAATATGATCAATAATAGTTATCACATTAGTATTTATTTATTTATTACTTCTAGTGTATATCCAATGAATGCAATTGAACCATAATTAATTAAGCATTCTCATTTTCATTTGCGAAGTTTAGAGTCCGTTTCATCCATTCAATTTATTTCCATTTAATTTATTTATTAGATAAGTTCTTTTGTTGGTTGTGTACAAAAAAAAAAAATTTTTTTTAATAGCAAATAACACAATAACACTAACGCTAAAGCTATTTTGTTCAAAGACAAAGAAGATCTGTTGACAAATGAGAAAATGGTGCTAGCTGTTTTGTGTTTCCCTATTTATATGTACATAGTATATTATTATTTTAATACTTCCTTAATAAATTTCTATTATTTCTTAATATAAAATACATCTTTTGTTTTTTGTGGACTAAAAAGACAATTTTTTAATTACTGTTACAACATTAATGCAAAATGGGAACTGTATGTGTAGTTTGAATGATGATACAGTATGTTTCTCTAATATGAATTAGTTTTTACACATTTTACTGTTTACAATATTTGAACTTTAACCATGTCAAAAAGAAGGTATTTGAATTTGATGATAAAAATGTCAATGATTGTTATCTAATTACAGGAATGAAAGGATCGTTAGATTAGTTTGGATGAGACTAGAAATAGAAAATGCCTTTTCTTGGTTATCTACTTTAGGTGGTGCTTACTCTGCCTTAGGAGACTATTTTGAAGACTGTGTAAGTAGTTTAAATTTTCTTCAATTACTCAACTCCATTGCAATTATTTTAGTATATATGGAACAATATTTCGGCAGCGGTAACTGTTGATTTAACACAGTATCAATTAACCCCGAGATGAGAGGTGAAATTGAAATTTCGATTGTTTTTAAAACAGCTTTGCCACTTATCAAATGACTCTTTATTTATATATCTGATTTTTTGCTGAGAGTAACGATACATACATTTAGAGACTTACAAGTCCCTTAGATTAGTACAAATATGGCAGAAATTAGATAAATATTGAAGTCGTCGTGGCCTAAAGGATAAGACGTCCGGGGGATTCGTGTTGAAGCGATGCACCGGGGTTCGAATCCGAGGCGGGGTACCAATTTTTCTAATGAAATATGTACTCAACAAATGTTCACGATTGACTTCCACGGTGAAGGAATAACATCATATAATAAAAATCAAACCCGCAAAATTATAATTTGCGATTTACTGGTGGTAGGACCTCTTGTGAGTCCGCGCGGGAAGGTACCACCACCCTGCTTATTTCCTGCTGTGAAGCAGTAATGCGTTTCGATTTGAAGGGTAGGGCAGCTGTTGTAACTATACTTGATACCTTAGAACTTATATCTCTAGATGGGTGGCGCATTTACGTTGTAGATGTCTATGGACTCCAGTAACCACTTAACACCTGGTGGGCTGTGAACTCGTCCGCCCATCTAAGCAATAAAAAAAACTAATTAAGGTTTCTAATTCAACAGGCAGAAGAAGCAGGCAGAATATCTATAAGACAATACAAACTATCGAAAATGTTAGGAGACGAAAGCTTAGCGGCCCGGAGTAGACTATATTCAGCACTGTCATACTCACAGAAAGGACATTTACATTTATCAAGGCATATAGTACGCAATGTAGCCGAGTTCGCTAGAATAACGAATGATAAACGTTTGTTCAGAATGTGCCAGGGAGTTTGGGCGAAATTAAAATATTTAAAGTCACTAAAGAAACAGGGTAAACACCATGTGAATGGTAAGATTAGTGCGTAACATGAATTTTGTGAATTTTCTAGTTTGCATCTGATGAAATTGTAGAAAATCTTGAAAATTTGTTTTCTTCTTTTCTTCTGTATCTCGTTTCTTTGTAGTCCATGGATATTTTTAGAACTTCTATTATTACCTACGTTTTAACCCTTTGACTGCGATGTGGGTCATCGGTGCCCTAAGTCGATTTCTGTTACTAAAGCGCCCAAATATATAGTAGACTCGGAAAAACGAATCCGAAGATCCCAAGTATGAATTATATTTCTAAGAGACCCAAAAATACTGAAACACATTAAAAACAAAAGAAGGCAAAGTTATAACAGAAATCGATATCATTACTTGAGTGGGCCACGTGGGGCACCGGTGACCCACATGACAGTCATAGGGTTAATGCAGCAACTACGTCATTCACAATTTTTACCATATACTTATATGGATTTGAAAGATAATCAAATTTTAGAAAAATGTCTGCATTTTATATTAACAATTATTGGGTAAATATTTTAAGATTATTTTAAAATACAATCAGAGAAACCAGTGTCTATTAAAATTCAATAAACAATTTGATTTTTAAAATAAATAATACATTATGTGGGAATAATAGGGTATTTGATTGAATTAAAAATATATAGAAATATATAAACTATTCTGAGAGGTTGTAAATTTAATGTTGTGTACTTTCAGCAAAAGTGTACCTTATTTATAACTCTCAACAAATATACATTGTATATTTCCCGTATTCCTGTATGTAATTTATTATGAAACTAAATATCTTCTATCTCCTTCTTCTATATATCTATATATATATATATATATAAATATATATATAAATGAATTGCTGTTCGTTAGTCTCGCTAAAACTCGAGAACGGCTGGACCGATTTGGGTAATTTAGGTCTTGAATTATTCGTGGAAGTCCAGAGAAGGTTTAAAAGGTAAATAAATATGAAAATGCTCGGAATTATATAAAAATAACAATTTTGTTTTTCTTTCTATATGTCCCCCGTCGGACGGATTCCTTTTGTTTGTTTTAAGTTTATTTTATAGAAAAGTTTAGGTCTTTTATTTATCGATTGAGGCAATACGAAGTCTGCCTGGTCAACTAGTCATCGATATAAATCAATTAATACCATAGTTATCTAAACTGTCTGGTGATGTCACAAATCATAGTTTAGCTGTTAACCATAGTTCATTAATTACTAACAACATTATACCTACCTACTCAGAAGTGATTTTAGTGTGTTAAATAGAATGAAAAAATAGGTACACATTTATTGCATGTTTTAATTGTGAAAACTTACCATCTTTTTTTTAAATTATATACTGAATATGTAAGAAATCGTAAGTTGAATACCTCAATGAAAAATTTGGAATTATTTCCATAAAACAGTCAAATATCCTATATATCGAATTTAAACAAAAAAATGATAATAGAACTATCAATAATAATGTTCTATAGGACGTAATGGAAATATGGTGCTCAAAAATGAAAACATTAAATATTGATTTTCTTTGAATATAATTTAAAGGAAGATAAAAAAGGTAAAGAAAACATCTGAATTTAAAATATTCAATTTTGTATTTCAGCCGTTTTTATGTTGATTCCGCGATTTCTTTTTTTAAGTATGGCAATTGGATTATTGTGACGCCACGCCACTGTAGCCACTGTCAAGCTTATAAAAATATTCAATTTTTAAATACATACATATTCTGTTATTTGAAAAATGCTACATTCATCTTGGCTTTCATCTTTCCACATTTGTGCACTACCACAGATGCTAAACAGCTATTACTGTTATAACACATTTTAATCTGAACAAACACTAAATAAAACAATTCAAGCAACTTCGCGCCAAAACCCCACGCTCGGCGACTTAAATAACAATATTCGTAAAAACAAACACGAAAAAAACAGTCATAGGCAATTAATTAATGTACTACAGTCGTATACAATTCATATACAATGTCTATATAAAACATGGAGCTTTATTCTGCGTAAAGCCAATTTTCAACGAATTGTTCTCGCAACGACTTAATGTTTGCGTGAAACGAGATCTTCCCTATAAAACGGGGACCAACATGTACCACATTCTAAATTTATTTTATAGTAAACACTCAAAGCACTTATGAAACAACAGCAGGAGTGGAAATCTATCGTTGTAAGATCATTTTAGGTTAAGGATTAGCGTAATATTTTTAATAGTTATCACGGAGTAAACTTGTTATAGTTAAAACTAGCTTCACGGGTGACCACGGTCAGTGGTTCTTGGTGACCAAGAAAACTATACGTCAGCGAGCTGTTGGGGACTCAAGATAAAAAAAAAAAAAAAGAAAAACGTAGGTAGTACCCAAATTAAAAATAAAGAAAAAATACCAAATTTCATGATTAAATTTTAAGTTCAGACTAACTTTTATTAAAAAATACACTAGCTACATACTCATACGATTTCCTGCATATTCTTTAGTATAGTCCATGTAGAATATTATAACACCAAATTGCCTATGAATTTCATTTATTCATGGCTGTTGTATATTCCAGAAATGCACAGTAGTATGGAATATATCAACTTTTTTAAATACGTAATTTGGGTACTATCTGAGAATTTTTTTTTGTTCCTAATAGATCTATTATGAGGTGTTTCAGGATTTGGGACCCCCTGTGTAACTCAATATCATCCTAGATGTCACTTAAACCAAATAGCATTTCACCCCTCGATGAGGTGACAACGAATAACACTGGACTTAAACCGTTTTTTTTCCTACCTAAGCTGGTACCCTTGAGAGGCTATTCCAGCGTAACCTTAACTAGTAGGTGAGCTTACGGGGCTCAAACCTGACGACGTTGCTAACACGAACCCTAGCAAGAGCCGTGCTTCGCAGAATCTACCACCGGATCGGAAACGCGACCCACTGAGAAGATCCGGCGAGAAACTCAGTGGGCTGTGTCTGAGGGTTAATTTACTCGTCGAGCCCTTCGTTGCAAGCGACGGGTTCGACGAAAACGGTGACCGGTGCTTGAAGTACCTAAAAGCACCGTTAGTGGATCGGGAGGATCCGAAATGACGTGTTTGGGGCGACGTCGACTGCTTTCCATTCTTTCCGCAGGATCGGGAATGTAGTTACCGACGGCCACGATGAGAGTGTTCTTGTGTCGTGCTGCTTTATCGAAGTGGGGACTTAAACCGTAAAAGTATAGTTTTGATAATTTTTGGTTGTGTCTGCGATACGCGAAAATTTCAGTGGTTTACTCCGGGATCGCTATTAGTAAATATGAAAATCGGGAGCTTTGGGCTCGATTATCCACACAGTTACACAATAAAAAAAGGGTTCCTGCATTTTTTTAATATCGCATTGCTCATGTTCAGCATTCAAATCTAATCTAAATTCTCTAAAATGTGAATTGGGACGTTTTTCATATCATATAATAAAATAAGAACCATATAATTCGTATGTTTTAATAAGGTAGACAATTAATGAATGTCAGGTAACGTGAGCTTGTCCATCAATACATAGTAATGAAAAAAATTGGAATAGACACAGTTTTGTACTAGTCCAGTTGGGCGATAAGTATGGATGGTAGAAGTAAGGGTGCCATCTTCGTGAATTAGAAAGTGTCCGTTGAAAGGGAGAAAATTAAGATGGCGCCACAGTAGCAAGTGGAAAGATTTTAAAAATAGCGCCATAAACTATACTTCACTCTATTTAGTATTAATATGAGCAATATTCATAATTTTCAATTTAATTTTAATTTAGCACTGGTGGTAGGACCTCTTGGGAGTCCGCATGGGTAGGTACCACCACCTCGCCTATTTCTGCCGTGAAGCAGTAATGCGTTTCGGTTCGAAGGGTGGGCTATTGTAACTATACTGAGACCTTAGAACTTACATCTCGAGGTGGGTGGCGCATTTACGTTGTAGATGTCTAAGGGCTCCAGTAGCCACTTAACATCAGGTGGGCTGTGAGCTCGTCTATCCATCTAAGCTATAAAAAAAAAAATTCATTTCCTACACTAACGGTTTTTCGGCGAGTCTTCCAAAAATAGCTTGCTGTTTACATGTGGACACTTCAACTTGTCCTCTATAAAAGATGTTCCTTCTTACCTCTACCCTCCATGGGGATAAGTAAAACATCACAGATTCTCTAAATACGCACTTGTTTATTTTGTATTCCACAAATTGTTTATTGAAATCACAAGAAAAATATTATTATGTACCTACATTGTCGTTAATCAAAATGTGATTGATTTGTTAATTTGTTGGTGCTGTAAATAAATCATTTTTCGAAATAAATTAGAGTGTGTTTTATTAACGAGGTCCTTGGCTCTCCGTATACATACATACGTGTATACCGTAGTGGGGGGAATCGGGACCCTTTTCGATTCCAATACAAATTCTCAATGGTTTTTCTTGGGGTAATACCAATAAAATTGAAATTAAAATGGTTCCGGGGGCTTAAATTTTTATATACGATGCGTTATTAAACATAGTTCATTACAAAATATAGGTACACAAAAACTGAAAAAAAACTAGCTTGACCCGATTCACTTGGCTTTGGGGTGAATGGGGTTACATGTGGGGACAATAGTTTTTCGATAGGGCTGGCTATTTACTTCTTAGGTGGGTACCTAACTTTAGGTAATTAACTTTTTAATATCTTTAATGAGTTACAAAATTTTGATGACTAAATTAAACTATTTAGTATTCTTAAATATTAAATAAAAGTCATTTTCAGTTTAATGTTAAATGTAACAACTCAACAAAAGTATTGTATCATCCCAGGTTTGTCTCTATTTTAACTCTAGTGTCCCTATTCCCCCCAATCTACTGTAACAATGATTTATTTTCTCTGAATTTATACGCGTTCATATTATTATCATAATCTTTGGAGCCGAAGAATTCGATTGGCGATTACTTATGCATGCGTTAACTGTTCAGCTGGAAAGGATGTATCTCAGTTGCTACATAATCTAAAGATTAGTTAGACTTTGACAGAATCGGTGGTCTAGTAGTTACACCGAGAGTCGTGTGTTAAATTTCCCACATCGAACAAACATTTGTGGCGAAACATTTCGTTACGTCACGCGCATGCGCGACCTAAAAAATCTAGGAGGCCACGATCCCCGCCATTACAACAAAAAAGCATTGTACATTTTCACTTAAAATAAACATTTTATTATTTGATTTAGAGCCGCTTTTATTTAAGCGTCCTAAACATTCGTGTGATGAGCAGGTTTGTTTGGTCTTCATCTGGGTGTTTATTATCTATAAATGTGTATATTTAAAAGTGTATAACTATGTATGTCAGTCTCTGGTACCCATAGCACAGGGAATCCTAATTTGGGGCCGGACGACCGTGTATGATTTGTTCCCAGTTATTATTATTAAGGACTTCAGAATGTTAATGAATCAGGTTTGTAAGCTATTCCGAAGAGGACGGAGGACTACATAAAGATCTCCTAAGCTGGGGTTAGGTTTTAAATCCGCATGGGTAGTGAACCAGGCCAGCTCGCTTATTTCTGCCGGGAAGCAGTAATGCGTTTCGGTTTGAAGGGGCAGCCGTTGTAACTATACTGAGACCTCAGAACCCATATCTCAAGGTGGGTGGCGGCATTTACGTTGTAGATGTCTATGGGCTCCGGTAACCACTGAACACCAGGTGGGCTGTGAGCTCGTCCACCCATCTAAGCAATAAAAAAAATAAAAAAGGCGTCTTGAGTTCATTTGGATGGCGGCAGTCAGTTTTAAATTATGATCTAGAGTTAACCTATGATAGAGGAAAATAAAATGTGTAGGTACTCAAAAAATAAAAATAAAAAACAAAAGGAGAAAACTTACATCGTTTATTTATATTAATAAAAAATTGGTCACATTTATTGCAAACCAAGCCAGACGCAACAGAAGTTTGTTAAGAAACTCCATTATGTATCTAAATAAACAATGGGTTATGGTAACTCGGTTGAACACAAAAAGTAAAATGTAACGTTTATTCATGATTCTTCTGTAGACACATTTATCAAACAGATTAGAACAAGAATTGAGATTCTCAAAAATAGTTTTGGCGACAAAGGCAAACTTCAAACGATACGGTAATGATTTTTAATATTGACCTAACTAATGTGTATGTTCTTTTTAACTATTAACGTTAAGAAGAAACACAATGTAATATTTAGCTCTATTACGATACAGAGGGGTGAAATTCCTCAATTATAAAAAAAATTTTTTTTACGCACAAGCATAATTTTAAGGATTCATTCCCAAAGTAAAATTATCAATGAAAATTAAAGTGAATACTGCCTCATTCTTCTATATTGAAAATGTTTTCGACACGAATTAATAGTATTAAAAAAAAAACAGATTAGTGTAAGTATAGTATTGACGCTGCGTACATATTCTTGTTAAGGTGTTGCCATATTTCTTTATAATCGACTTTATTTTTTTACTTGTCGAATACAATAGCATGAGTTTTAATATGATTTAGATAACTATACACACGAAATAATAATTATAATTAATAAACCACAGTTATTACACGTTTAAACTTGAAGTAATACAAAATTAACAGAATAAAACAATTCACAAAGCTTCAGTTGTCGCGTTCGCGCCAAAAACAACGCCGAACCCTAGATGGTAAGTTTTTTTTATTGCTTAGATGGGTGGACGAGCTCACAGCCCACCTGGTGTTGAGTGGTCACCGGGACCCCCCTGTAATCATACTGAGTTCTTAGAACTCCTATCTCAAGGTGAGTGGCGTAATTTCCGTTATAGATATCTATGGGCTCCAGTTACCACTTAACACCAGATGGGCTGTGAGCACGTCTACCCATTAAGCAATATAAAAGTATATATATGGCGGCGCTAGTCGCGTTGCTAGTCGTCCGCGCAGAGCGGGCACGCTAGCGTCCCCATGGGGTCCCAGGCCGGTAATTCCACTAATTCTTGTTTGAATACATCTAGAACTTCTTTCGACACGTACTTCTTGTCTACAACGACCTAGAAGAGAACAAAATTAATTTAAAAAGAAAAAAAATTGACGAAATAAAGTTTAAATTGTAAAAAGTATATATCGACGCTTGAAAGGCCAACATGACTAAGCGACAATCCGGTCACCGTTCTCGTCGAACCCGTCGCTTGCGACGAAGGGCTCGACGAGTAAATTAACTCTCAGACACAGCCCACTGAGTTTCTCGCCGGATCTTCTTAGTGGGTCGCGTTTCCGATCCGGTGGTAGATTCTGCGAAGCACGGCTCTTGCTAGGGTTCGTGTTAGCAGCGTCGTCAGGTTAGAGCCCCGTGAGCTCACCTACTAGTTAAGGTTACGCTGGAATAGCCTCTCAAGGCTACTAGCTTAGGTAGGAAAAAATAAATAAAAAATAAAAGCGACAATAACTGCTTTGTACATAAATGATAGGCAATAACCATATTCTATGCGCAAAAAATATATATTTCTAGGTCTATTAAAATTATTTCAATCCTACAGCTACTACCTAGATTCTACTACAGCTAGTTAAAATAAATTTTGTTTTCAGGTATTTCAACTTTAAATTAGGTAGTCTACTGTAAAGTTCACGCATTGTCGCTTAGTCACGTTTGCCTTTCAAGCGTTGTTATTATCTATATCCCGCGTTTTTTCTATTAGTTTTCGTGGCCGAAAGATGACGGTTTTCATTATTATATCGACGACGAAATTATTAATCAATTTTTTTCAGCCGACAAAAAAAAAAATCATTCGACTGTATGTTTTTATGTGTAACTTCAGAATACTATAATATTTTTTTTGTCGTTTCTTGCCGGTATCTGCGTAAAGATATAAATGGATCTTTTTGTGTTTTATTGTACAAAATGTAAATATGTAATGTAATGTAATATCACTCGTGGTAGGACCTCTTGGGAATCCGCACGGGTAGGTACCACCGCCCTGCCTATTTCCGCCGTGAAGCAGTAATGCGTTTCGGTTCGAAGGGTGGGGCACCCGTTGTAACTATACTGAGACCTTAGAACTTATATCTCGAGGTGGGTGGCGCATCTACGTTGTAGATGTCCATGGACTCCAGTAACCACTTAACACCAGGTGGGCTGTGAGCTCGTCCATCCATCTAAGCAATAAAAAAAAAAAAAAAATGTATAGCATAGTCGGAATTAGTTTAGGTAAAAAATCTTTGCTCTAATATGTATGTAGGTACAATTCCTTTTTGCGTTATTTCTCTTGCCTATCACAATAGTTTACGATTTGTTTGTCAAATCATTTTTTTTTATTTATATTATGGCCTGGTAACAGACCTTTAAGCCAACCAAATCTACACAAAACAGTTCTATCATCACCTGTTTATCGAACGATCTTTGATCGAATCTTTAGTGTTATACAGACATACAATAACTTATTATATGAGCCCCAAAGCAAAATAGTTCGTCTAGTGGGAATTTTTTTTTATTGCTTTGATAGGTGGACGAGCTCACAGCCCACCTGGTGTTAAGTGGTTACCGGAGCCCATAGACATCTACAACGTAAATTACGCCACCCACCTTGAGATATAAGTTCTAAGGTATCTCAGTATAGTTACAGCGGCTGCCCCACCATCCAAACCGAAACGCATTACTGCTTCACGGCAGAAACAGGCAGGGTGGTGGTACCTACCCGTGCGGACTCACAAGAGGTCCTACCACCAGTAAAAAAATTATATTCGTATGTCGTTTGATAAGGCACTATCTAGCATGGGGTGTTTTATGAGCTCCGTTATTGATGTGTTACCCGATGCCATCTGACCTATTCACTTTAGTTCAGAAAAACAATTTATCCATTTACATTTAAATCATTAAATCATTCATTACAGCACTACAGATGATTTTCTTTACACTTAAATTAATTTAACAACTTTTTGAACACTAGGCAGAGACATCTGTTAAAATATCAATGAGCTAAATGAACATGAAAATGAAATCGGTATTGAAAATTAGGCATTAAGTAACTTTTTTTTTAAAGGGATTTTATGACCTGGGAACTGAGACCTTTAAGTCATGTCTTATTTTAATGTATATTCATATTTTTATGAAAAATGATATTATGGAGTGAAATGAAATGAAGATGATTAATTTGAGACATTAATCAACTGGGATGAAATTAAATGAGATGATATGAGATGAAATATAATCTCAGTGAAATGGTGGTCATTTACTAACATTTTTTCAGTGGACTTTTTGGAGGATCCCGAGAAGTTACGTCCAGCGGCTTCGTTTCATTTTCCCACATTTGTGCACTTTCACAGATATTAAACAGTTAATAAACCACCATTATTACACATTTAAACCCGAAGAAACACTAAATAGACAAAATAAAACAAATCACACAACTTCACTCCTCGCGTTCCCGCCAAAAAGTCCATTAAGTAACATGTAATTATTATTAGAAGATTAAAAATATAGTTACCTCAAACACAAACTCTCTGAACCAAGGCTCGGTGAGTAGCAGGTAGCCTTTATCGTACTCCTTGTCGCTGGAAGAGTTCTCGACGCGGAACTTCAGCGGATTGCCTTGCTCCTGTAACGCAAAATATCTGCTTCTCCTTCACAATCTTCACTGAGAATTTTGACTGGTAATTTTACACGCCCCTTTTTTTCCCTACCAAAGCTGAGAGCCTTGAGAGGCTATTTCAGCGTAACCTTAACTAGTAGGTGAGCTCACGGGGCTCAAACCGAGAGTGTTGCTAACACTGGCCCTAGCAAGAGCAGTGCTTCGCAGAATCTTCCACCGGATCGGAAACGCGACCCACTGAGAAGATCCGGCGATAAACTCAGTAGGCTGTGTCTGAGGGTTAATTTACTCGAACGATGACCGGTGCTTGAGGTACCTAAAAGCACCGTTAGTGGATCGGGAGGATCCGAAATGACGTATTTGGGGCGACGTCGACTGCTTTCCATTCTGTCCGCAGGATCGGGAATGTAGTTACCGGCGGCCACGATGAGAGGGTTCTCTTGTCGTGCCGCTTCGTCGAAGTGGGCACGTCCCATTGGACTTTCGCTGCTTTAAAGCACCTCAAGCACCGGTTAAGATTGCAACCTGACTAATAAGTCACAATTCACTGAGTTTCTCGCCGGTGGGTAAATTCAGAGCACTGCTTTTTCTTTATTAATTGACCCACCTTGAGATATGAGTTCTAAGGTCTCAGTATAGTTACAACGGCTGCCCCGCCCTTGAAACCGAAACGCATTACTGCTTCACGGCAGAAATAGGCGGGGTGGTGGTACCTACCCGCGCGGACTCTCAAGAGGTCCTACCACCATGTGTGGCGCATTTACGTTGTAGATGTCTATGGGTTCCAGTAACCACTTAACACCAGGTGGGCTGTGAACTCGTCCACACATTTAGGCAATAAAAATAAAATAAAAAAGCAATAACTTCGGCTTAAGTCAACCGGACCCCAACCACCCGCGTCCTCACCCGCACGTGTCCAAGACCCGCTCTATTTTTTTAAAACTTTTTTATGACCTGGTAACGAAGACCTTTAGGTCAAGTTTTATTTTAATTTTAATGAAAACTTTTTTATATGAAAAATGATATTATGAAATGAATTGAAGTTGATTAATATGAAACATGGGATGAAATGAAATGAAAACCAAATAAAATGAGATGAGATGATATGGGATGAAATATAATCTCAGTAAAATGGTGGTCATTCACTGAGACTTTTTCAGTGGACTTTTTGGAGGATACCGAGAAGTTACGTCCAGCGGCTTGATTCATTTTCCCACATTTGTGCACTTTCACAGATATTAAGCAGTTAATAAACCACCGTTATTACATATTTAAACCTGAAGAAACACCAAATAGACATAACAAAACAAATCATACAACTTCACTCCTCGCGTTTCCGCCAAAAAATCCACCCGCTCTACTATAGTGAGGGCAGGAGGGGGAGGAGGAGGAGGAGGAGAAGAGGGGGTTGCGTCTCACATCGAGGCCGACCGCCGTGAACACCATGGCGTGTGTCATGCACGAGTCTCCGTACAGCAGTCGGTCCTCCTTCGGCATCCCAATCTGGATCTCAGTGTTGAAGACCAAACGATAGTCGTGACTGAAAAACGAAATAACACAATAATTCTTTATCCATTTTAAAATTGAACGTTCATTCGAATGCTATACTACTCATTATATTGAATACTAGCCGTACTCGTCCGCTTCGCTGGGCATTTAAAATTAACATTATTATTTATTGTCATTATAATTAGGGAGTCCAACACTCGTATAAATATTAGCCTATCCATTAAGTACATGTATTTTCTACATGGATACCAAGTTTCAAGTCAATCGGATGCACGGTTCAGTAGTTATAACGGAAAATCCGCTAAAACCACTGTAGATTTATATATTATTATAGATATAGATATGTAGGATTGGTTAGAACGGAGCGTATGAAAACAGTATGTAACGGAGCGTTGAGATGTGAAAGATAAAGCGGAAAGAAATGGAAAAGAGAATGACAGAGATAAAGCAAGATGGCGAAGACCCCACCTACGGGCGACGGACTGTCGAGGCGATCCGCCCGGTCCTCTCGGACTGGGTGAATCGCGACCGAGGACGTCTCACCTTCCGAGCGACGCAGGTGCTCACGGGACACGGCTGTTTCGGTCGCTACCTGCACCTCGTCGCCCGGAGGGAGCCGACGCCGAAGTGTCACCACTGCAGTGGCTGCAACGAGGACACGGCGGAGCACACGCTCGCGTACTGCACCGCTTTCGCGGAGCAGCGCCGCGTCCTCGTTGCAAAAATAGGACCGGACTTGTCGCTTCCGACCGTCGTGGCTACGATGCTCGGCAGCGACGAGTCCTGGCAGGCGATGCTCGACTTCTGCGAGTCCACCATCTCGCAGAAGGAGGCGGCGGAACGGGAGAGGGAGAGCTCTTCTTCCCTCTCGGCGCCGTGCCGCCGCCGTCG